AGAAGAAGACGTGGATGTTATGTATATTCGATAGAATGTAATAATTGCAATAGTATTTACATAGGACAGACAGGAAGGAGATTAGAAACACGTATCAGAGAACATGAAATTAAAAATAATTCTAATGTTTATAAACATAAAATGGAAACGGGACATAAAATTAAATACAAAGAAACTAAATTAATACACAAATGTAATAAAGGTCAAAGATTGGATTTGCTTGAAATTTTGGAAATTTTAAAGTATAAACACAATCAAAATTATAATTTATTAAACGATCAAATACAAATTAATACTGCACCTATTTTCACTTTATTAAAAGATTTTAAATTTAAATATAAACAGTGTTATTCAGGATGAATACCAGTTTCCTTCTTGCTTGTTCCTTTTGACCTTCAGTCATTTTTCGTATCTTTTGTCAAATGTAAACGCGTGTTTTGTTTTATATTATTTTGGATTTTGTTTTAAGTGTATTTTAACTTTTGGTTTTGAATTTGATATTCTATTATATTTGTTCAATTATTAAAGTAAGAAATTTTCAAGCTTGGATAAAAAAGATGAAGTTAACTTTGGAGGATGTGTTAAATTTGATGATTAATATATTTTTTCAATTAAACTGACAGTAAGTAAATTTATAGAAATTTTGGATTTATTTCATATTGTTTTTTAAAAAAATTTTTATATAAGATTCTACTGAAGATGAGGATTGTTTCCTCGAAATCGATTTAGAAGCATAATAAAATAAATAGCAAGAAAGAGGAAAAAAAAATTTTTGTTTTATTTAAATTGACTTAAACAAAGCTTGCTAATGGATAATTTAATCAATTTTGTAATGTGTTCTGATACCTTTCTTGATTAATCTCTTCTCCAAGTCTTCTTGGTGTTTGCGGAATAGTCTGGAGGATCTGATCTTAAAGGTTTTGGGAGTAACATTGAGTTCTATCGCTTGATATAAAAAATTTAGGTTGTCTTTGGTCTTTTCTCTCTTCAATCTATATCTTATATTATATATAAGCTATAAGATATCTCCGCATTAAGAAGTTTAAATAAAATGGTTTCCAAGTTCATCCTGGATTTTATTAAATATAACCAAAATGCACGATGAATGATCTTTATTTTATTTCAGTGCATGTTTCAGGTGATAACCTCACCCTTCTTCAGGCACGACTAGACAAAATAAAATGAGAAGAAAATTAAAATCAATTACAGAGACAAAGTGCCAGCATGACAAATTACCGTCAAAAAACTTAATGATGAAATAGACTGTGTTGGTGACACATGTTGCGAAGAGAACTTAACATTACCAATAATTCTATAACAGTTCAGGTCTAAAATAATCGTAATCCACCTTCTATTGTAATTATGTCTCACTACGTACTTAAATCCAAGGTACATGAATATAAGGTATGCTCATATGGTGAACGAATTTTAGCACGTACTGCGCATTGGCCCGCGTACGTCATCACCGTGTGTCACAGCTTAGCAGCCACTTGTAAGCGAGGGTTTGTTTACAAAATTACAAACATTGGGTTATTCCGTTTAAGTGTCGTTAGACTTTTATAATAAATAATAGTAATAATAATTTTATTGAATAAGTATGATTATACATTATTCTCGTCAATAATATACAGTTCATAAGACTCAAAATATTACAATATTGCAAACAATTATTAATTTTTTTTTTTATATATATTTGGAAAATTCTTGTCCGCAAGGTATTCCTCAATTGAATAATACTCTTTTTCCAATAATATTCGTTTAACTTTCTGTTTGAACCTTTTGTTATTCAACTCTTTTATTTTTGATGCATCGTACAATTTGACCGATATATAGTTGAAAGTATTCTGGGATTTTTTGATTCTGTGATATGGTATTAACAGACTACTTCCATGACGCGTGTTATAGATATGTAGATCTTCGTTCTTTGGCAATGTGTCTTTCTTCGTATGAACATTAACCAGGCAGGTAAGTATGAAACAACCTGGGATAGTTAGTATTTTTAAGGTTTTAAAAAATGTTCGGCAGCTTCCAATATAGTCAAGCCCAGACAAGATTCGTATCAATTTCTTTTGCATTTTAAATATGTCGTACATATCATTTAATTTAGTGTATATTGACGTTAGAAAAGGTGTTAAATAGTTTAGTTTTTTTATTTGATAGTATTATTAATTATTAGTTAGATTTTTATGGTGGATATAGACGTTAGAAAAGGTGTTAAATAGTTTAGTTTTTCTTATTATATAGTATTAATAGTGTTTTGTTGATTACCAGGTAAATATATAAACATTTGATAAATCCTAATAAAATATTTGTCTTCTAGCTGTTAATAAAGTAGCCCCAACTTCTTTTAGTAAAAAGAAAAAATAAAATGAAGAAATTTTTAGGATAATATAATAGATAATAACCTGGTTTTATTTTCCCTTTCTACCTACAGAATAGTTATTTATGATATAAGTGTTAAAATTAAGATTTTATTTTGTGTGTGGAAATTTTGTCTTCTTTGAATGTTTTTAACATCGAGATATACTATGTTTACTGGAGTGCGTGCTTTGAGCTAGAAAACGGCCTCCCCCACCCCATAACGGCAAAAAGCTTCAACGTAACATACGTAACATTTATTATTTTTCCTAACTATAATAACTTAAATATGTAATATTTGGTATTTTTTATCATTATTGAATAACATTATTTGAATTACTTAGTAAATATTGAATAAATTCATGCTGAATTATATCCATTAGTTAGTATTATTTGTATTTCTTGCCGTTATGGGGTGGGGGAACATGCTGGCGAATCGGACCGTTTTCTCGACCAAGCGAATATCGTGAGCACGTACTCCAGTAAATTATACAATGCGATCAAGCATTTCGTAAAAGCAGACAAGGGTGCGGGTGTAGTTATATTAGATAACAATACATATTTGGAAAAAACATATGAATTTTTACAAAATAACAATTATATAAAGCTTAAAAATAATACGTTGGAGAAAATCGTCAGAAATACAAAACAGATAATTAATAAATGCAAGGAGACCCTGGTTGAGTATACTCCATTTTTAAAGAATTCCAATTACAAATATTTTAACAGCTCATTCTTCATAAGTATGAACCCCACCATTCCAAAATTATACTCCCTCCCAAAGCTTCACAAAATGAACATGCCCATTAGACCTATTACCTCCTTTAATAACTCACCTACCCAAAAACTTGTTAATTTTATGTTAAACATATTTAAGGATATTAACTTTGCTCCGAAGTACTCCATTGATAATTCCACCCAATTCATAGAAATGACTAAAGATTTAAAAATAAAAGACAAAATTCTTGTTTCCTTCGACGTCACTAACCTTTACTCAAATGTTCCAATTGACCAAACATTAGAAATAACGTCAAAAATGTTTAACTCATTTTCAGATAATAAAACGATCGTCGAACATTTAAATTATATTTTAAAACACATAGTCACTCAAAATTATTGTACATTTAACAACGAATACTACTTTATCTCGGAAGGTTTACCTATGGGCATGCCTTTATCAGGTCTCCTAGCAGATATCTTTTTAGATTACATCGAACAAAACTATATTATAAATAATATTAATCCTCACAAGAAAAATATTAGTAAATGGGTGAGATATGTCGACGACGTTTTTTGCATTTGGGAAGGGAACAGAGAAAATTTGATGAGTTTTTTGAATTATTTGAATAAAGTTAATAAGAACCTTAAATTTACTATAGAAATTGAAGAAAATGATCAACTTAATTTTTTAGACTTAAATTTAACAAGAACAGATAAATATAAAATTGAGTACAACATTCATAGGAAACCATCGACCATCTCAACAACTATTCCCTATGATTCAGAACATCCTATGTCACAAAAACTTGCTAATTTTAGATTTTTAATAAATAGAATATTTAACTATCCCCTCTCCGAACAGAATAGGATAAAAGAAATTGACTATGTGTTTGAGCTTGCATATAATAATAAATTCCCAAAACATATTATTAATAGATTATTTCATAAAATACAGCAACAAAGAGACCCACTTTATGTTAAAACTCTAAATAATTTGAAATATAAGCCCATTCCTTTCAATAATGTCACTTTTCAGGCAAAACACATTTTTTCCAAATATAATCTTTCCTTGGCATTTTCGAATAATAACACGATTCTTCGACTTTTATCCAACTACCATATGAAGAACAAAGATATTTTCAAAGAATGTGGCATATATTCAATTGGTTGTTCCAATTGTAACTCAGTTTATATTGGGCAAACAGGGCGTAAATTGGAGACTCGTATACGAGAACACAAAACTAAAGATAATTCCAATGTATTTAAACATCACATTGAAACAGGCCACAAGATAGACTATAATAACACTAAACTTCTACATAAATGTGAAAAAGGTTATAGGCTAGATCTGCTCGAAATTTTGGAAATTAACAAACACAAAAATAACAATAACTGCGAATTATTAAATGATCAACTTCAATTATATAATAAACCTATTTTTATGTCTCTGAGAGATCATAAAACAAGTATATAACAAGTTTATTTGCCGGGATAGTTCAATGCAGGTTTAAAACCCGCTCAAGTCTTTTTCCCAGTTCCTTTGTTCTCGTCTCACCGTCGACATCTTTTCGTATTTCGTTTTTGACAAAAATTTTTAATATATTTTGATGTCGTATATTTATTTTACAGTTTGAGTTATATTGTGAATGTTTTTATTGTGATTATTTATTTAGAGCATTGTGAGATAATGTCAACTGAGTAAGACGTGCTTGTGCTGCGCTCCGCTGAAATTAGTCGTTAAATGGTGTACATTAGTTGAGTTTTGTTATATTATGGCTGGTAAAACGCGTTCAGCGGCCTTGTCTGTATCAGACAAAGATGATTTTGTTAAGTCGTGCATTATCGACATTGTTAAAGATAAAGACTTCTTAAAAATTTTGCGCGACACGATTTCGAAGGAGGTGGAACGTGTTTTTTCGGAAAAAGTCAGGTTCCTTCACGACCGGATCGAGCAACTGAGCCAGGAAAACATCGTACTGGTCGCGAGGTGTGACGACTTGGAACAATACTCGCGGCGATCCAGTGTGCGTATTAATGGCTTGAAAAAAAGCCCTCCAAGTGAAGTTGAAAAATCGGTTCTTAAGCTGTTTAATGAAACTATGAACCTTAAAATCGATCAAAGTGCTATCGACCGATGGCACGCTGTTGGTCAGCAGACTAAACATGGAACGCAAACTGTCCTTGTCAAGTTTGTGAGTTACAGGGATCGGCGGATGGTTATGAATAATAGAAAACAGCTCAAGGGAAAGAAAATATCTATAGCGGAGGATTTAACTAGAGAGCGCTTCCGTTTGTATCGCGAGGCGGTTAACCGGTTTGATTTTAAGNCTGTGGGCTTGTGCTTGGTGGCCTCGGGGGATGAGATTCTTGTATGATATCATTTGGACACTCTATAGTATAGTATGTGTGGCTAACTATTGTGCATGTTCAACATTAGCCTATGACGGTGCTCAGTTGTCATTGAATTTTTTTTTTAGTTTATTATTGTTTTTGATTTGGGTTTGAGTGGTAGAACAGGTGTTACCTGAACTCCGCCTAAATTCAGGCTTTAATGTATTTTATTTTACTTTAGCATGTACTTATCATTTTCTTTGCCTATGTATATGTATAATATTTTTTTTTCTTTTTAAGTTTGTACTTGATGAAGCCTGAATAAAGTTATTATTATTATTATTATTTTTCAATTTTAACGTGTTCATACCTTCTAAAGAAGTTTTCCTCGAGATAATGTTTTTTCGTTTGAGTTTTTCGCTTTTCATGTATAAATCGCTTTGAAAATTTTGACTGTAAGTTTTTTAAACTGTTTTATTTTAATATTTTAATGTGTTTTTCGTTTTTTCGTCTTTGCTAGTTTCGACTGAAGATGAGGGTGTAACCTCGAAACTAGTCTCGATATATATTTAAATAAAAGCAAGCTAAAGAAGTTTTTTCTAGTATATCTTTTTGGTATAATTTTTAATATATTCCCAACTTGCAACATGGATAAAACTCTTAATTGTTTATATTTATCTACCTTGCTTAAATCTAAATTCTGTAAAAACAACAAGTTATTAAAATCAGAAAATGGTTACTGAACACAAAATGGCGACTTACTTTTTCGTTACACAATCTGACGAAACGATTAGATAAGATTTTTCCGTCAATCGATATTGAATCCTAACTTACTGTATACAATAAAGATCATCAACAATAAAATGTATCAAAAATCGTTAGGAGATTATAGGGCCAGCAAAAATCCGATATCGATCAAACTCTATCAAAATGAGAGCTCCAAACAGATTTCGTTAAACGATAATACATCATAAAACGCATGGGAGGATGCAATGGGGAGCGAAAAAAACAGGTGTCTGTATGAAAGTCATAAAAAATCTATTTTTATTATTAAGTTCGGTTATGTCGTTCATTAGTTTGAGTTGATTGTTGTTGTTTATATTAATGAATAGTTTCTCGTATAGGTTCATTTCTCGTGATTTTTTTAAGTTTTTGATTAGTCTGATATCCTTGAATTGGATTTTATGTTTACAAGTTTGAATGTGCTTATAGACTGACGAGTTGCTCTTCGTGGTGTGTTCTTTGAATCGTGTGTACAAGTTTCTTCCTGTCTGGCCTATGTATATTTCGTTACATTTTTGACATTTGATTTGATATACGCCGCTTCTATCTTCAACTCTTATTTTATTCTTGTTATTAACCAAATGACTTTGTAGTTTATTGTTGGATGTAAAAGCAGGAGTCAGGTTGAATTTAAGTAGATTTCTCTTCATCCTGTACTCCAACATTGGGTTGAAAGGTAGTGAAACAAAATTCGGTTTGCTTTTGATCTGTGGAAATATAAGATTGTTAATTCTGGATTTATGGACTTTGTTGTACATGAAAGAGTTATCCATGTTGCAAGATTAATGATCAAATAAAAACCATATAAAAACTTCTAACTTGCGTTTATTTATATAAAGTCGTACTAGTTTCGGGTTACCCCATCATCAGCGACAACTATAAAGAGTACGAAAAATAAGATAACAATCAAAAAGTGATAAATATAATAGAGTGATGTTAACTCGATAAAAAAATATATTTTTTTAGTATAAAATAAATTTTGTTGAAATAAAAGTTAGAAGTTAAGTTAAAAATATAAAACGTTCAAAACATTTTTTAAAAATACGCGAAAAAAACCTTAAATTAATCTTAAATCAAACTATATAACAAAATTAATCTAAACTTAGAGGCAAGAAACAATCAAAATGGAAAACTTTTTATGGAAAAATTTTTTTAAATTTAAATAGAGTTGACCACGAGGAAAATGAGGAAACGTAAAAAAAATCAAAAAACTGAAAAATACTTACAGTCAATGAAGCTATAAAAGGTGCAGACTGGAAATCAAGAGAAAGTAAAGCATTTTGCTATCTGATGGATAAACAAAATGAAGATAAAGTTGAAAATACAAATGGCGACGTTAAAAATGTGGAATCTAAAAATAATAAAAAAGGGGAAAAATGAAAACCTTTAAAAAATTAAAAGGGCCAAAATAAAAAATAAAGTATAAAAATGAATAAACTTACGTTAAAAAATTAGAAATTCGAATAAATCTTTAAGATCGTATTAAAGATGTGTTGGTGCCCAGTAAACAAGAAACATCTGTGAAACATTTCAATTTTAACGTACAATGAATTAAATGAAACATTTTACAACTACGTTTCATATACGTGACAGATACGATTGTTACGAAACGTATCTAAAGATATGTATCAAATACATTTCAGTAGGAATATTTATGAAATATCATTAAAATATGTAGCAGAAACATTTCATTTGAAACATTTCTCTACAAATGTGTCTGAAACATGTCTGAATATCTTCATCAGCGCCTGTGAACGTATGCGCATGTTCCAGGACGCGGTGACTCATCAGCGTCTTGTCACGACTTGTTCTATTGTGTGTTTTGTTCTGTTCAGTTCTGTTCTCAGTTCCTTCGAATCGTTTTCTATATATCTGTTCTGTGGCTCGAATATTGGTTTAGAATGGCGCAGGTAAGTTTCGTATAAGTTTTTTTATATATCACCACTAGGTTTAGTTGTTTTTAAATTTATCTAAAAACATTCTTGTTTAAAATGATGACTTAAATCTTGTGATTGAATTTAACCGAAGAATATTATATTGACATAAAGTTATTCCTTAACCAACGCGATGTATTCGCTGCGACGGCGATTGTTACGCTTGATAATGTTGTCGCCAAGTCGACACGGTCGTGTTTATGATTTCATAGCGAACGCACGCTTTTCGGCTGCGCTCGACAAGAAACGTTAATTACGGTGTTATTTTCGCGAATTAAAGCGAGTGTTGTGTTGGCCAACGTAAAGGACCATATTAGCATTAGTGTAAAGTTAGTTTAGTGATAATTAGTTTAATTTTGTGCAAGTTATTAACGTTTTTAGTGATTAAGTTTTGTGTCGGGTGTACGTAAGGACCAGAGTCGCTCACTGACTTCGAGTCAGTGTGTGACGAAAAAGGTCTCTGTGTGACGTTGGTTGCGCAAGGGGAAAGAAACATTATCAACTGGGTTCTGGATTCAGAAACCATAGTACAATCTGAGGGGGGGGGGAGTCAATGAATACTGGGGAAGAGCATAGAAAGAGGCTGAGAGACTCTGACAGCGAAGGTGAGAGAGACAAAGAATCCTCGAAAAAAGGTCGTAGTACAACAACATCGGCCTATATATTTGGTGGAGGCCGGCGGTTGTCCCCAGGAGCCAAGGGTGACGAAGGGTACGAAAAAACTGAGGTTGTTAAACGCGAGAGGAATGCCACTGCAGTGATACTCCAGCGATGGAATGTAATGGAGGATTCCCTGCGTGAACTAATTGTCGAAAACATCAGACTAAAAGAAGAAAATAAATATTTGAAGATATTAAAAAACTTACCTGGGGGGTCCGGTGCGGCGGGGGCGGTTGGTCCTGCGGTGACCTACGCCGGGGTGGCTGCCAGGGGTCCTGCGGCGGGTTCTTCTGCTTCAGCCGGGGTGCGGCCGCGTCGGGGAGTCCTTCCGTCGGAGTCTGAAAAGGAGACGAAGTTACTTGTTAAGCCGGTGGAGGGCTCCAAGATCGTCAGCAGTGTCATCGTGGAGGAGCAGATATCGAGGGTCCTCAGGAACGAGCTCAAAACGGTGAAGGTAAAATCGATGAGGACTACAAGGAACACCGGGATATTGTTGGAGGCGGCGAACAAGGCCGAGGTGATTAAAATCATTACTTGCGCGAAAATTGGGGAGCTTGGTTTCAGAGTGGAGAAGCCGAAGGCGATGATGCCTTCTGTGCAGCTGTACGATGTGCCGCTCGACTTGAAGGATGAGGACATAAAACAGGACGTCTTCAACAGAAATCTGGAGGAGAAGGGGATGATTTGGGACGACTTCAGCAGAGAGACAAAATTGGTAACGAGGCTGGGGAAGAGGGAAGGCGCCAACACCAGCGCCGTTATCCTGGAGGTGTCGCCGATCGTGTGGCGGGAGTTGATCAACTTGCAACGAGTATACATCGACCGCCGGGTGTGTAGAGTGGTTGACTATGTACCAATCACGCGGTGCTTTAAGTGCCTAGAGTTCGGCCACATAGCGCGAGTGTGCTCCGGGGAAGTTACTTGTCGGCATTGTGCGGGTAAGGGTCACAGTGAGTGTGATTGTCCCGACAAAGATGGCCCCGCGCGTTGTAAACTGTGTTTGGGAAGGGGAAAGCAGAGTGATCACCCCACGACATCTAGTGGGTGTCCTGAGTTTGCGCCACAAATCTAACTAAGGAGAGAAAAAACACAGTACATTCACAGTTAAATGTATGCAACTGAACTGCCAACGATCAAAGGCGGTGATGGGGGAGGCGGTACAGTGCGCGACGGAGGGGGGGGTGGACATTTTACTGTTGCAGGAGCCCTACTTCTCGCGCGATGTAGAGGTTTCCCTGTCTAGAGTTGGAAGAGTCGGCGGGTGATACATCTGGTGCGGCCATTGTGGTATTGAACGAGGAGTTTGTCGTCACCGTTCTGGGCCTGCACGGGGGTCCCAACGTGGTTACTGCGGCGTGGGAGTTCGGGCGCGCTCGCGTAATATTTGTGTCCATGTACTGTCAGTACAGTGACAGACTTGACGGCTACATAGATAAGCTGGAGGTGGCTATGGACGCGAACGCGCGGTCACTGCTTTGGTACGACAGAATATAGTAACCTACACCTGGCGAATGAACCAGGACAGCTACCGACGTTCTCAACCAGCAACGGGGAGTCCAGCATCGATGTTACGATGATCGGTGCGGGATTAATAAGTGCGGTGGTGGACTGGAGGGTGGTCGACGATACGTGTTCGGACCATAGGGCCATCCTCTTCGGGTTGCGCGTTGATGATCCCGAAACAGAAAAAACAATTATTAGGAAAAGCGTAAAAAGGGTGAACTGGGATATGGTGGACGAGTTAATGGGCCGCAAGTTCGCGAGGCGGGAAATGGACCCCTTGTTCGGGGGGGTGACGTCACAAATCGTGTAATAAAAATAACGGACGCGACAATTGCGAAACGGGTCATAAGGTCAAACCACTGTAGATGGAGCGCGGAGTTGGGAAGAGAGAGGGGGATCGTGTGCCGTATTCGCAGGGAGCTGCAGAGAGAGTCGCGAGTGGGGAGTGAAATGGTGCCCGGTTTGAAAGCTAATCTACAGGAGAGGGTTGCCAATTACAAGCATATGATAGAGGCAGCCAAAAAAGAAACATGGGTTAAGTTTGTGGAAAAAGATGACCCGTGGGGCTTGCTGTATAAAATAACCATGGATAAGTTACCGGTTCGCGACTTGATACACTCCGTGATTTTAGGCGGCCGAGAGACGGTGGGGTGGAAGGACACAGCGAGTACCGTCCTGGAGGCGCTAGTGGTGTGTAGGGAGGAGGAGATGGGGGCGATTGAAGCGGAGCACTACATGACGGAGTCGCCCGATGTTTGGATCAGCATGCATGATCTTAATGCTGCAGTGAAGGGGATGAAGACTGGGAAGTCTCCGGGCAACGATGGCGTATATCCTGAATATGTTAAAAAATTGTGGGAACTGCGGCCAGGCGTGCTTAAGGACATGTACAACTTATGTCTAGAACAGAGAAAGTTCCCTGGTCTGTGGAAAACCGCAGAAGCAGTTATGTTATTAAAGAAAAAAGGGGTGGTGGACAATGTGAAGGCCTACAGGTTGATCTCCCTACTGCCTGTGTTGGGCAAACTATTTGAATGGCTATTGTGGATGAAAATTGACGAGAGTTATAGAGAAAATGTAGGCCACAACTCAAAGCAATACGGGTTTCGTGCGGGGAGAGGCAAGTAGTATAAAAATGAGAGTTCTGGAGCGGAAGTTAATCCCCCAATCCCCCTGTGACGTCTACGCATGCGCGCGCAGGAAGTGACGTCACAGTGCGGAAATTCAAAATTCAAAATGCACGTGGCGCCATCTGGTGGTGTGTAGTGAAACTAAAAGCATGTCATGTTGGTTGCCTGGCTCGTGGGGCACCACCTAGCGGCGGATAGCGGAACTAACCTAGCGGTGGGTGGTGGAACTAACGCTATGTTGGTTGCCTACTTCATGGGACGCCACCTAGCGGTGGATGGTGGAAGTAGCGTCATGGGGCTCCACCTAGCGGTGGAACTCGCATGGTGGATAGACGACGCGCGCCCACTTAGCGGTGGCCTGATGGGCGATAGATGGCGCGCGTAAATTTTTAAAAATTCATGCGACGTTATAGAATTAAGATACAATTAATATAAAAAAGGTTTCGGTGGTGTAACTTAACGGAATATATATAATACTTACTTGTTATAGGAATTGAACTGATAGCTGCAAGGAGAAATCTAGAAACTTTAAAGTCAATAAACCACCGAACCACCGAAACCTTTCCAGTTTAATGCTTAGCAGTTGAACAGAACAAAAATGAAATAAAAAACAAAAAAAAGAAAAAAAATTTTTAATATTTGCTTCGCAAAAGAAGAACAAAAAAGAAATAAAAAACAAAAAAAGAAAAAAAATTTATTAATATTTGCTTCGCAGACTTAATTACTAGAAAAGAGAATCAAAAAGCAATAGTATAGTTTTAAAATGTTTTAAAAAAATTTATTAACATTTTACTTTCGGAGTGATTAAACGCTGTGATAAAACAACCTTACACATTAAATGTTGATGATGTAACGATGCAATTTAATAATTTAATGAAATTTAATAATTTTACTTTTAGAGTGATTAAACGCTATTATTAATACCATGATGACCCCAAGCTAATGTATCAATCCCATCATTACAAATACATCGCTTGGTATCATTTGGTGAAAGAACCAATTTATTTTGTAACATAGTAAAAATTATGTGATGAAAACTCCTAAAAGATAATTGCTTTCTAAACAAAACGGCTTTAGAATTTAAACATTCGATATAATTTTCAAAAGTAATTTTACGTTTCACGACAGCCTTCTTTACACCTTTGGATTTTTTAGTAACCCGTCCATCAGCGACTCTGTTAGCATACACCTTCGATCTTAAACCCACAAATTCTTCCATAATTTCACCACAATTCTCATCCTTCATGAGACCTAAAACCGCTTTATTTTGTAACGGGACGTCAAACTGATTATCAGGACTGTAGTTAGACGTGTCAAATTTATTTAAATTTAATTTTACATCTGTATAAACATCATTGGAATTAATTAGAACGGTGAAGCTATCCGTATCCATGTAACATAACCGAATACCTTCACCATACTTTGGTTTTAAAAAACCATAAAAAAAGTTGTACATTAATAATTTCGACAACTCTAAAACCGTAAAACCAACATATAAAGGTTTATCGTAAACGATATGAAGACGTTCCATTTGAATAGCCGAAAATGTTTCCGTGAAAGTTTTAATATTCTTAAAATTTAATTTAGCGATTAAGCTACGCGCTCCTAATTTTGGTCTACCCGTTTTCATACATATATCTTCCCAACTGGTCACTAATCTTACATCGACTCTCTTATCAACATTTTCCATAGTTTTACCGAAAACCGCGTTATTCATTAATTTAAAAAAGTCTTTTTCAAACGCATTTTTAGCTGATTGACGTAGTTCAGTATTTTTATCGATGTAAGACTTCAACCACGCAGACTGTTTAAACGATAAAACTCTATTAATTTTGTAAACTTTAAGACCGTGAGCAACGGCTTGTTTTAAATTTCTATAGTGTACGACATAATTTTTCTTATTAAATAAATTTGGAATTAATCTTTTATCACTTTCACATTTACCGTTAGGTGGTAATAGGTTTTCAGCTAGGAACGGGAGATCATTATGTAGATCGTGTAAATTTTCGGGGTATTCAATATCAACGTCTAAAATAAATCCAAAATCGGCAATATCAGATATGTTATTAAAATCTAAATTTTCTATTTCATTTTCAGACAGCCATTTAAAATCGGAAAAGGGTTAACGGGTTAGCACCGAATTTAAAATAAAATAAACCATTTTCATCGTTAACCCAGAGTTTTATTAATATTAATAAAAGAACGTCGGTCTTTAAGTATAAGTCAGAATATTCTTTTAAGTTTTGACAATTAAATTCTTTCCACACACGTTGAGCGTGCAGATATTGCTCATCACTTATATCTTCTAAAGTTAATTTGTTATAAAACATACTTTTAGGTGGTAGTTGGATATCATTTAATTTATCGAAACAGGTTATATAATTGTATGGAAATATACCCTTTTTTGTTAGCAATTTAAAATGTTCAATGTGTGGAAAGAATTTACGTATATTGATAAAGTTACATTTTTCTAGGTTATCAGCTAAAGAATCTAATGAAGATGCCATAAATCTAAATGAATCCACAAATCTTAATTTTAAAAAATTTTTGTCAACATGTCTATCTTCGTCCATTACCTTATCGACCAACACTGTTTTACTAAAACTGATGTAGTTTTCTTTATTGTTCGGCAATACATCAAGTCCATGTTCATCCACATCAGCCATTTCTTTAATAAATAAATGACAATCATAACCGCTAAAATTGTGTAAAAATATTGGAATAATGTTTTGGAGTTTGAAATTTAGATTACAATTTGAATGGGCGGGACCGCGGTATTTACCGCTTATGTGACAATGATCACGAACCTTAACCTGATCAGATGTGAAAGGATTTTGACAAATAAAACAATTTTCAGCCGAATCGAAATTCCGTTGCTCATCGACCGTTAGATCGTTGGTTTTACGGTTTTGAAGTATTTGTCGTAAATAAATTTGACATCATCGAGTAATTTTGAAATAAAAACTTTAGACGCATCGAGCCCCGTATACGTTTCGAATTTATTGAAATCGCTATCAACGGTGGAAACGATGTAATAAGCGAAACTGTAGGGCTGATGCATCTCAACTTTTTCGGTAAAAGATTTGGATGAATTGGGCTCGCAAAAGTTGATGGGTTGTAAAATCGATTCAAAGTCAGCATAAATCACGAACGGAGCCATCTGAGTGAATTTATAATTATTAAATTCTAAAATATTTTCAGGAGTATATAAGCCAAAATAATTAAGTTTCGATTTTAAATTTTGCGTGGGAATAATTGTTCTGATATGATTACAATCATGATTTTGATGCGCAATCAATTTTTCGTTTGATGAAAATCGCGTTAAACATCCATCGCAAAGGTGTATAGAGCCGTTACGGTTCGTGCACTGACTTGATATAAGCCTAGAAAAGTTCTTAATTAATACAAAATGACCCTTACCGTTTTCGTATAGATAAAGCAAATTTATATGAATCTCGCGTCTTTGTTTCGTAAAATAAATTGGTCCTTCCACCACATACTTATCTAAATTCTTAACTAATTCATACACATTAATACTTAAATTATTTAATTTTTCTATTTTAATAATATCCTTTAAACTAATGGGAAATGTAATCCCTAGCAAATTTAGTGCATGACTATAATGAGGGTAACTTGCAGTCCGGTCTAGACTATGTTCTGCGGGATGAAGAGCTGCCGTCAAACACCACGCAAGACATGCATCATCTTCATAGTTTTTAATATTGTTGCATGCCTTTTTATTTGCGATTTCTTGAGGTAAACGGTGTTACGTGCCAAATTTTCATTTACCTTTGTTTTGTTTTGTGTTGTTACTTTGTGTGCTGAGGTGAAATATGAGTTGCATTTCGCGTTTAGGGTTTTGAATTTATTATTTTGATTTATTGTTTTTTTATTTTAANCTTGAATTGGGGTTCGACGTTGAATTCTTCAGAGGATCGAATAAAAAGCGTCGTTTTAATAACGAATACAATAATGGCTTCTTGTTTTATTTATAACATTTGAAATCGACAAAATCGTCATGGTTACATAAAAAAATTTGGTTTGTTATTTGGGTTGCCTAAACAAATGTAGTTTAGCGATTAATTTTGGTCTACCCGCTCCCTGACCTTGAACGTCTTCCCCACTGGTGACTAATCTTATATCGACTCTCTTATCAACATTTTCCATAGTTTTACCGAAAACCGCGTTATTTATTAATTTAAAAAAGTCTTTTTCAAACGCGTTTTTAGCTGATTGACGTAGTTCCGTATTTTTATCGATGTAAGATTTCAACCACGCAGACTGTCTAAACGATAAAACTCTATTAATTTTACAAACTTTAAGACCGTGAGCAACGGCTTGTTTTAAATTTCTATAATGTACAACATAATTTTTCTTATTATATAAATTTGGAATTAATCTTTTATCACTTTCACATTTACCGTTAGGTGGTAATAGGTTTTCAGCTAGGAACGGGAGATCATTATGTAAATCGTGTAAAATTTCGGGGTATTCAATATCAACGTCTAAAATATACCCAAAATCGGAAATATCACGTATATTATTAAAATCTAAATTTTTTATTTCGTTTTCAGACAGCCATTTAAAATCGGAAACGGGTATAAATTGAGACATCGCCCACCCATTCAAATTATTAACGTCCCAATACATTAACAATTCAGAGGGTGAATTAGCATCATAAGTTTCCATATACTTATTGTTTGCTTTAGCATGTTGTAGGGAGCATTGGGAAATACCCCTACGGATACCTTTTTTAACAAAATGAACTTGATCTATATCCGTTAACAATTCGTACGTTTTAAAACATACACGTCTAAATTTCTTGAAAACATCGGCTAATAAAGGAACATCAGTCTTTAAGTACAAGTCGGAATATTCTTTTAAGTTTTGACAATTAAATTCTTTCCACACATGTTGCGCGTGCAAACATTGCTCATCACTTATGTCTTCTAAAGTTAATTTGTTATAAAACATACTTTTAGGCGGTAGTGAGGTATCATTTAGTTTATCGAAAGAGGTTTTATAATTGTATGGAAAGATAACCTTTTTTGGTTAGCAATTTAAAATGTTCAATGTGTTACCATCTATGTTACCAGCTAAAGAATCTAATGAAGATGCCATAAATCTAAATGGATTCACAAATCATAATTTTAAAAAAATATTTTCAACACGTCTATCTTCGTCAATTACTTTATCGACCAACACTTTTTTACTAAAACTGATGTAGTTTTCTTTATTGTTCGGCAATACATCAAGTCCATCTTCATCCGCATCAGCCATTTCTTTAATAAATAAATGACAATCGTAACCACTAAAATTGTGTAAAAATATTGGAATAATGTTTTGAAGTTTGAAATTTAGTTTACAATTTGAATGGGCGGGACCGCGGTATTTACCGCTTATGTGACAATGATCACGAACCTTAACCTGATCGGATGTGAAAGGATTTTGACAAATAAAACAATTTTCAGCCGAATCTTTTAGCCGAAAATTTTACGGTTTTGAAGTATTTGTTGTAAATAAATTTGACATCATCGAGTAATTTTGAAATAAAATAAACATTTTGTGTGTTAACGCGTTGGAGAACTATTGCAAACTACAAGATAACCACAGAAGATAACGATGATATTCATCCATCTTAAGAGGTGGGGCTTTGCGTTAAAAGTGAATTGAATTTCATGAATTTACGTTTTAAATATTCATTATCAAAGCAAGGTCAATAGTCAAAGTCACCACAAAGTTGCTTACGTAGGTTAGCGTTATTTGTGAAATATGATGACGATGATAATTCATCCATCTTAAGAGGTGGGGATTTGCGTTACATATTATTAAAGTGAATTGAAGATCATGAATTTACGTTTTAAATATTCATTATCAAAGGTCAATACTCAAAGTCACCACAACGTTGCTTACGTAAGTTAGCGTTAGTTGTGAAATATAAAAAAGAAAAAAATATAAACTATTTTAAATTAAAATAAATTTATTTAAATAAGATTGTTAACATAATATTTATTTAATATACTTAATCTATATGAAATTAAACAATCTAAATATAAAATATAATGAACTTCTGACATATCAATTACAATAGGTATCAAAGAGGTTCTCAAATTTCTATCAACATCGAAGTCTTCACATCTAATACCTAGTACGTTCTCACTCACGCGGGTAATATTTAAAATTCCTTCTGCTAAAGGTATTGTATAACTTGAAATCACCTCCTTGTTGAAGTAAAATTGTTTGAATATATAAATTAAATGATCCCAATCTTCATGGTGAAGGTAAATTTTGTTTAACTCATCATTTCACGATTTAAAAATAAACTCTACACAAGGTATAAAGCCTCTAACAACACTAATACCAACTTTAATGTTAAATTTACCTACAGAAAATGCACTTTCATCAATAAATTTAATTTCTTTCTTTAAATCCTCTTTGAATTTTGCCCACAGTTTGTCAATTAATCTCCAGAAATCTACAGTTACACCGTTGACACTCATGTGTCAGAGGATGTTTTATACTAATTAACATGTACCCTATATCTAATATTAAATATGAATGGGGGATTTAGATTTTAAAATTATACATAATTTATTGATATAGAAATTTTTGTTTTACCGAGATTCAAATTTTTCAATCATATATATAAAACACCTCTTCTCAGTAGTAATTTGTTTTTATTTTTTATAAAATTAAAACATTATTTCCTCGACGTTTCGAGCTTTTAATGCTCATTATCAAGAATTATTATCTAAAATTAAATTAAAACATCAAACCTATACAACGACATACCAAATACAACAATTTAAAACGTTTAAAATTATATTCCTATAAATAATTACGTACCCTCTTACCGCAATCTTACATTGTAAATTTTATTCTAACGATATCACGTGTCGCTAACTGCAAAATTATCGATGGAATAAATTCCATGTTGTTTGAAACGTGTATCGAAAACTTGTATATTCGGGTGGGGAAAACGTATTCTTGTATTACCTCAACTTGGTTATTTTTATATCTTTTTATGGAATTTGTTAAAAGAAATTTTATATATTTAAATCATGAATTATTCCTGCGTAATGTATCCCGATTCCACCAGCGTCCGTTTTATAATTCACTACGCTATCTATGTTTTTTGTTATAAATATAGATTCTAAATTTTTTCTATTTAGTGTATTTCCACTAGTTGATAATACTTTTGGGTTATCAAAATTAAAAGTATGGTGTTCTTGTTTACTATGATAACATAGAGCTGTTTTATGTATTTTTTATTTGTTTTGTGTCGTATTCATGTTGTCGCAGTCTTTTCTTTAAATGTTGTTTTGATTCACCAATGTATGATTTGTCACAATTGTTACATTTTAATTGATATATTGTATTAATTTTGTCTTTTATTTTTATTTTATCTTTCATGTTTGTTAAGTAATCTTTTACTTTGTTATTATTATATTTGGCGAATCCTATTTCGTTAAATTCATATTGTTTAAAAATAGATGTTATTTTATTTGTTAATTGTGGAATGTAATTTATTTTGTGATATGATGTATTAGATTTTCTTTCTGTTCGTTTTTTGGTCTTATCATTGTTCAAATGATATTGTTTGTTTGTATTTTCTGGTATGGTCGGTTTTATTACTTCCATGTAATTAGTTATTAAGTTTCTTTTTTTATTATTTTCAACTCTCGATCTAAGGTTGTAATTATGAGATGATTGAGTATTTAAATTTGTGTTAACATTTAATGGTATATCAGTCGTTTCCGCCAATGCGCGATCAACGCTTTCATTTTGGATTCTATGATATATGGAATACCAAGCATTATTTATTATTGGTTTAGGAAAAGAGTTTTCTAATAGTATGTCATATACTTTTAATTTAATTTGTTTTAACAAAGGTGGATCTGTTACTGATATGACTCTACGTATTAGAGTGTTCATGGTGTTAATTATCTGTGACTTTTGGGTTCTAGATTTGGTTACTTATAAGAACCTGGTATGTTATAATGGGATCAGTCCCAAGTTTTATGGTCTTCCTAAAATACATAAAGATGGTTGTCCCTTACGACCCATCATTTCTTTTGTGGGTTCTCCCACGTACAAATTATCGAAGTTCATCTCAGATATTCTTTCTGTGTCCCTCTCGGGTTGAACCCTTTTCAACATTAAGGATTCTTTTGCCTTCGTGGATGCTGTATCCAGTGTCATACTCCCCCAGGACTTCGTCCTTATTTCCCTTGACGTGGTCTCTCTGTTTACCAGCATCCCCACTGATCTGGTTCTGTCATTGATCTCTAGGGAATGGGATTTGATATCTCCCAACACTACCATCTGTAAGACGAGTAGTATAGATTCGCCGATTCTAGAACCTCCTCCTCGAACCTGCGTTCTAGGAGGAGGTTCTTGAATCGGCAAATTTTTTGGGGGTCAGAGGAGGTTCGATGAGGAGAGGAGGTTTTTGAATCGGCGATTTTTTTAGGGGTCGAAGGAGATTCGATGAGGAGAGGAGGAGGTCATTAACTTGAGAAGATCATGTTATCTTGACGAAATTATTAAAAATTTATCTTTATTTATGAAGGTCATGTTATTTTGACGAAATTATTAAAAATTTATCTTTATTAAAAATGTATCTTTATTTAGGTTATGTTATTAAAAATTTATCTTTATATGTAACCTGTTTACCTAGATGAAAACAATTACTATGTTTATCCTTCGACGCTTCTCAATGAACTGTTAATGTTTTCGATATATCTCTTAATTTATTATTATACACAAAGGTATACGGTTTTGAGATATGTAGGTATACAAATAAGTGAGTCATAACTTACCTGCGAGATATTTTTTATTTTATTATGTAAAGGTGTACGGGTATTTAAGAATATGCGAGGAGGTTCTTGAATCGGCAAATTTTTTGGGAGGACAGGTTTGAGGAGGAGGTCAACTAACTTGTTAGTAGTAGATGAGTCATGATCCACCTGCGAGATATTTTTTAAGAGCTTCTTAATAAATTTGTCATGCGTTTTGTCTGACGTCTCACGATATAATGACGTGTTAGAACATGTATAATAGATATATTCGGTAATGATGTGAAATATTACTCCCCCCACCAGCAACCTTATGTATTGCTATAAATACAAACGTTGGTCGAAGTTGTACCGCAGAGTGTTGTGCTTCAGAGTAAGGTTTTTGTGTATTTAGTACATATTAAAAATATCGTGTAGATTTTTGGTGCATTTAGTACAGAGGATTTTTAACGTAACGAGTAAGTAATTCAAATGTAATACAAGTAGATAATGTACTAATGTAAACAATAATATTGATGTTTAGTGGCAACCAGACCGAACCCCAAATGTCCAACTAAGAGAGCTGCTGTAAATTCATTTGAAAAGGGTGAAAATAAAAAACCTGCCCGAAACATCAAAATGGAGGGTAATTGTAATGAGACAACTGCAACAAATGTGTCGCTAGGAAGTGATAATCAAAGAAAAAAGGATGTGGTATTCGATGGAATTAATTTGTTGGCTTCCGACTTAGCGGAGTACGTATTTCCTAGCAATCAACAACATTATGTAGAAAATTGTGGAAAGTTACCTTTCACAAGTAACGTAGTATTAAATGAAGCAGTGAAAAATAATCTCCAAAAAGGTAATCAAGCGCCATTATTCTCCGAGAGTACATATTATTTAAATAAAAGTCGAACGAAATGGATATCGGTTGGCATGTCTGCCAATCTACATTTTGATCCGGTTATAAGATTAATGGGAAAAGGACAATGCATAACTTTTACCGAAGACGAATGGAAAAATGTGATTAATAGCAGACAATTGATTATGAATAGTTTTGTTGGTGATTTATCGACACCACCACATTTCGTTGTAAGCGGCGTGACCTGCAGCAGCCAATGGATAGAAAATGTACGAAAAGTGTTGAAAATGGAAAGGGGGTCAGAAATATTTTACCTGGCTTACGACTCGTTACACGAATTGTGGAAACTTAGCGATTTAGTTTCGAGTAGGGTAGAAGTATTAAAGTGTATGGAATATAAAAATTATTACGATAGCGTGATCGATGTGGTATCAACAATGCAAGGTGATATAAAATCGAATATATTGGTTGCTTCAAACGGTGCACCAAGTGAACATTTGTGCGTAACTAAAGAACTGCTCGTATACGGTATGGATAAGGTATTACTGGATTTAGATTTGCACGCATTAATGAAGATGTGAAGTGAATAAAATGGAAAAAAAAGTGACGTTTTGCGAATCGAAAAATAGAGTGTACCGAATGCACACTTGGACGTTTGCTTACAGACAATCAAGGATAAGTGACTGGGAAGAAAAGATGTTGGACGGAATTAGATTTAAGACTAGGATAAGAAACGTAAATAAGTTATTAGAAAAATATTTAGATGTAGATTATAGATTAAATATATATCAAGAACGTTTTAGCATTGTAGAGTAATCGAAATGTTTTTAACTGAGTAACAATTAATTTTTAGGATATTAGTAGATTTAAGTGTAGCTGAATAATAATAATAATAATATTAATAGATTTAAGTATAAATTAAGAGCAAAACTGTTTTTGTAAAATATTTAAAAGGAATAAAAGCTTAAAGCACAACAGCAGAGCTTCATTTCTAGTTTTTAACTGTGAAGAAAAGGAAGAAGGAGTGAAATTATAAAATGAATTTGTTAGAACCTAATCGTAACAGTTATCGTTTGACAGGCAAACGAATTGGTCGAGGATTTTTTAACAAGTTGATAGATAAACTTCCGATAGAACTTCATTTGCCAGGATATAATTTTTGTGGACCGGGTACCAAGTTGGAAAAGAGATTATCGAGAGGAGATCGAGGCGTGAATCCATTAGACGAAGCGTGTAAGAAACACGATATAGCATATACGGTCAGTTCAAATTTAAAATTTAGACACGACGCAGACAGAGCATTATATAAAGCAGCGAAAGAACGAATACGAAATAAAGAGTCTACTCTTGGAGAAAAAGTGGCATCGTCCGCAGTTGCCGCCTTAATGAAAGCAAAAGTAGCGGTCGGTATGGGCGTAGGTAGAAAAAGAAATCGTACTAGTCGACGACCTTTAAAAGAAGTTCGTACGCGTGTGAAGCGAGGTGGAGCTATATCTTTTGTAGATGCACTTCGGTTCGCTCGCAACGCAATATCGAGATCAGGTACTAAGAATTTGTTGGCAAACGTTAAAGCGGCGTACGGAGCTTTGAAAAAGATAAGAAAAAGAATTTCCGGACCTAGAGGTCGAATTATGCGAATTCCGAAAACGGGAGGATTTTTACCTTTAATTCCCCTGTTCGCAGCTTTAGGTGCCCTAGGTAGTATCGGCGGTGGTGCTGCCGCTATTGC